TTATTTTTCATTGTGCTACTAATAGTGCTTATGAAAGTATTTGGTTAGATACATCAATTCTTTGTATACCAATTATAGATGATCAACAAGACATGGCACAATGTTTAGAAGATGCAGGTGTTGGTCGATGGTTACAAAAATATGATTTTACATCTGAAATATTAAAACAAACAATTGAAACGATGTTAAATAAGGAAGAAAGATTGCTTAGAGAAAAGAATATAAAACGAATTGAAACAATGACGAAATTACATGGTGGTGTTGAGCATGCTGTGGATTTAATTGAAATGTATGCAGAATACGGAATAAAATCATTGGTACCAATTAATAATTCATTCCCATTTTATGCTGATCATAATTATAGATGTGTATGCAATATGACTATTTGTTTTAATTGGATAAAATTATTATTTAGACGTTGTTGTTATTGTCGTCGTACTATTATAGCACATTTGAAAAAGCAAAAAAGAAAGCTTCGTGAATCAAATGAACAAATTATTTGACGAATAGTTCTTTTTTTTGTCATAGTTCGACTAAATTAATATTTCTGAGACGTTGCTATATATTGAGGCTTAGCAATGAATACACATGCAAGACAAATATATAAACAATTGATTATGAATAGAGATGTACAGGACCAATTTTTAGTCTCAATTCCGGGATCGGGCGGAAACCATAGGAAAAACAAGTTGCACAGTCCATGACCGTGCTCTCGAAAGAAAAGTTGTCCCAACCAGAACTGAAGATTATAGTTAAATATTCTACGGCTTTAAGCAATTTATCTTATAGATCGTATCAATCAGAACATAATTCTGGGAGACATGACCCCACAAAGTGCTTATTATTAACTAAATCAATCAAAATACGAGTATTGAAAAACTTTTTTTGACGTGATACGAATAAATTCTCGGATACTTTTCTTTCGACTGGAATTGATACATAAAAAACTAAAATCATCGGGACCGGAACCAAAAATAGCTTGGTTTCCCACATTTCTAATCACAGCAGAATTATTCATTGGATGACAATTAGAGCAACTGTATAGCAATCTGACAATTAAAAATTTTCATAAAAGAGACAATCAAAAACGAGATAAGGAAACTATCTTATTCAAAAATCTATAAGAAATTGTTCTTATTTATTTCTTATAAGAAACATCCCAAGGCTGTATTCAAAATCATCACTTTTTCTATTTAATATAACATTAACAATAAACACAAGAATATGTTCTGATCAAATTTCACGTCATCAATTGCAATAAAATCGTCTCATACAGTAACATTATTTAATAAGATGTACATTTTATTCAAAATTATTCATATACTCTTTGCGAGTTTTAAGAATCTTTGTAATAAAACTTCCATATAGACTAAAATATGAAAGGTTGTGGAAGATATCTTCGAAACATGTAGTGTTACGATCATAACAAGTTTTGAATATAACCCTTTACATTTAATGATTTAAAGTGTGATGTTTCAAATAATATATTCAATTGGCTTATCATCATAGAACAAGAATATG